TTTTTGGGACTGTCCAGTAACAAAGCTAGTGGCTGAAGAAGTGTTCTCGAGATTCAATATTCAACTGAGGAGTATGGATGATTTGAAGGACTGCACACCAAAAAGGCAAAGGATGAAAGACATGGCAATATGGGCAGCATGTTGTTACGGGATATGGAGGGCAAGGAACAACAAGATCCATAAAGGAATCTTTAATGAGAAAGATACCATTGTGTACATTTACAACTATATATACTCCTATCTAGATTATAAGAAAGTATGTAAGAAATAGGGGTAGTTTCTTGGATGTAAAACTTTTGGTTTGGTTAATGAAGCTGTGATTTTTGTGCAAAAAAAAAAAAGGTAAGTGACCGAAATTGTGGATTTATAATATAAATTTTTCAATATTTATATTATTATCGATAATAAAAATATTATTAATTGCACTCATTATATTTTACCATTCGCACTACAATTATATTAATAATATATATATTATTAATTGAATAAATTTTAACCTTTATTAATTTTTTTCCATTCAATATTTTAACGTCTCGCATTATTTTTAATAAATATGGAATCAATGAATTATATGCTAATAATTAACCAACGTTATTTTGACTACTGATTGGAAATGTCTGAAATTATGGTAAAAATAAGTAACTATCATTTTTAACCATCGGAAGTTAATATAATTATTTTTATAATAGTTAACGTGAGTAATATAAAATTGTAAGCCATCAGAAGTTAATATAATTATTATAGTTATAATAATTATTGTATTAAAAAAGGTAAGTTATACAAATCCAAAACGTAAGTTTTTAATATAGGTAATTTATAGAAATGCAAAGAGTAAGTTTTTGAAAATTGGAAATAATTCAAAAAGGTAAGTTATACAATTATACACCCAATTTTGAAAAAAATAATTATGGTAAGAATAATTATACACCCAATTTCGATAAAAGTTAACCCTTCTTATTATAATTATAATTATAATAGAATATTACAATTAAATATACTATAATTATTCTCAGAAATTGTACAATAATGTAGTCTATAAAGAAATCTTTCGAAATTTGTAAAACAATGATGTTTTTTACCTTAAAATAATACGGAGTATAATCTCTATATTTTATTGCATCTCATTTTTATCATTGATAAATGATTTGAATTTAGTAACATAAAAATGACCCGTGCATCGCACGGGTGTGATACTAGTAAATTAGAAAATAAATTTGGTTTGGTATGTAATTAGTACCATTTAAATATGAAAATAAAATAAAGAATTGCAAAGTTAATATTAATACTATAATTTACAAAGATGAAAATGTTTTTAAAAAGGTAAGTATTCTAATTAGAAAATTAGAAAATAAATACGGTATGGTATGTCAGCACGATAAGCAAATAGTACCATTTTAATAAAAAATAAATGGTAATAAGTGTTCTAACATAAATTAGGTAAGTGTTCTAAATAAATTAGAAAATAAAATAAATATAAAAATGGTAAGTGTTCTAAAATATATGAGAAAATAAATATGGTACGGTAAGTAATGATATCATTTATATACAACGATAAATTAGAAAACTACAAATTAATACTATTAATTAATACTACAATTTACCAGCATGGAAACATGTAAAAATGGTAAGTTTTATCAAATAAATTAAAAAATAAATATGGTAAAGTAAGTAAATGGTACCATTTAAATGCAAAAATAAAAAAACTATAAATTAATACTATTAATACTATAAGCATGGAAACATTTAACAATTGTAAGTATTCTAAAATTAATACTATTAATACTATAATTTACAAGCATAGACACATGTAAAAATGATAAGTGATCTAAAATAAAATAGAAAATGAATACTGTAGCGTAAGTAAATTATACCATTTAAATACAAACATAAATTAAAAAACTAAAAATTCCAAAATAAATACATTAATATGTTGAATTATTGCTTAGATAAGTCAAATTATTGAATTATTTTCAGGGACAATATCTGAAACATGTAAAATTATTGTTACGGAAACCTGTATTTAGTCATGGGCAACTGTATGTTGCAGTTTCAGGAGTAATAAATCGCAATGACTTGAAGATTTTGATATACAACGAAGTGAATGTTCACAGGAATTATACGAGTAATGTAGTTTATAAAGAAGTCTTTCAAAATTTGTAAATCATTTTACTTTTGTACTTTAAAATAATGAAATATCTACATTCCATTATATACCAATTTATATTCTTAAAAATGATCTTAATTTAGTAACATAACTATGACACGTGCAACGCACAAGTGTGATACTAGTTGTTGTTTAATTACGATGTTCAATTGAGCACCCCGCTGTATTATTGTAAATAGATTTCTATTATTATTTTGAAGTCAGGGATTTCTTTTTATATTTTTAAAATGTCCATAGATTATATACAAAATCATGCATTTTTATTCAAATTTTAAAAGTCTTTTTTAATGAATGATTTTTGTTGATTTATAAAAATTTCTTGGTTTCTTATATGAAGAAATCTTTAGACTTTGTGACAACAAAAAAATCCTACGAAGGAAACAAATTAAATATATAATGCATAAAATTAATTATTTTCATTTTGTTATATTTCATTGAGTTATTCTTATATAAGTTGTATAACACAATCATCATTTGTTAAACTTTTGTTTGTTGATTTTGTGCGCTTCGAAATATCTAATTAATAAAATTTATTTTATTTTTCTTATATGGTATTCAAATCATCTAGATCTATTTTGTCTAAAAATTTTATATTTTGATTCATTTAAGAAATATTTTGAATAGAACACAATTTCAAATTTAATTAGAAACAAAAATTTTCAGGTTTTTTAAAGTTTAGTCCAGTGAAAAACATATTCTATCCGTTCCAAAATTATATTTTCTTTTTGAACGACTTGTGAAATTCTATGATTTTTATAACGATGTTATTAAAAAATTGATATATAAATAAAAAATAAAATCTACATATTTAAAACTACATCAAAAGTTTACAAAAAAAAAGTGACAAGATTTTTTATTTCATCAAATGGTTAATGAAAGCATGCAAACACAAAAGAAGTTATAAAAAAAAGTAATAATAACCAGGAAGAGAAAAAATTAAGAAAAAAAGTGATTTAGATGATTTAAAATGTTTAAAAAATAGAACCATGTTTAATTAGAAAAAATATCAGAATTTAAAGAGTTCAAAACACTATTCTACAAAAAATAAGTAATAGATGTGTTTAGAATTTAACTTGAAAAATCATATTAAAACTATTTAATTTTTTTAAAAATAAGTTAATTACAAATTGTGATTTTAATAGGGGTGTTCATTCGGATATATCCGATCCGATCTGGTTTTTCGGATCGGTAAATATCTATTCCATGTCCGATCCGAAAATTAACAGATACCCGAAATATCGGATCGAGTCAATGGAATATCCAAAAAATATTTATTTTTTTTGAATTTTTATTTTTTCCAATAATTCTAAAAAAGTATTTAGAATGATTTTTTATTTGTTAAAATAGTAGAGGTCATAAATTAGACCTGAATTTGAAGTCAACTCTATATTAAATGTCATAGTTACCTTGACTGTTATCATAAGTCAAAATTTTATGAATGTATGAAAAAAGAATATCAACATAGTTGACAAATAAAACATAGACAAAAAGACTAAAGTAAAAAACTTCAATTAATCTTAGATATATATATTTATGATGATGAAAATGAATTGGGATTAAGTTATCTAAGCTTTATTTTTATATTTAATATTTTTAAAATATGAACTTCAGATATCCACGGATATCCGAAATCTTTATATTTCATTCCATATCCGATCCGATTTTTTCCGGATATCCAATCCGAAATATCCGAAGGCTAAAATATCATATCGGATATCCATTTTTTGGATCAGATCGGTCCGGATCATGGACAGATATTTTGGATCGGATACTTTTGAATACCCCTAGATTTTAACATAAAAAAATAGAACATATATATATATATATGGTATGAGCTTGATACTGAATTTTTCAAAATCAAAGATATATTAGAACCTAACATGAACTCATGTCAATAGTTCTCATGTCCTCCAATAATTTAAATGTTTTTATACCATATTCTTTTGTTTGAAAAAAAAATAAGGAAGAAAGAAACCTAAAAACACAATTTTTCCCACGCTCATCAAATAAGAAAAGAAAAAGTCCAATAAGAATACCTTCTCACGATGCTGACAATAAAAAATCTGTATAAAAATGAATAAAAGTGTTAGACATATATGGAAAAAAGTCTAGTTATAGAAGAATTGTTATTTAAGTTAGTTTACATATTTGGTGAATCCTAGCCTATGTAGGGATCCTCACCTATATAAATATCCATGTACACTTATTCATTAAGAGTAAATTCATAAATCAACATGGCACCGGAGCACGGAGATCCGTGTCTCCCCTCTCCTTCGCTGCGTTAAACACGAACAAAAAAAATAGAGATTTTTTTTCCTGGCTCAGCCGATCTTCCTCTCGATCACGACAGCCATTGCCGTGATCGGCCATGGCCCCTTTATCTTTTGATCCTATGGATCGTCTTCCTACGGGTCTCAAATTGTTTGTCCGGAATTTTCAATCCCTAACTCCGGTCAAGCTTGATAATACGAATTATCCCTCTTGGTCTACCATCGTTCGTGCAAATCTTCTTGCTCATCGCCTATTTAGTTATGTTGATGGATCTGAAACTTCTTCACCGGCTCTTATTCTCGATGAGAAGGCTGCGGCGCGAGGCAAAGATGAACCCCCGATTATGAAGCCAAATCCAGCCTATGAATCATGGTTTATTGTTGACGCTCAGATTCGGGCATATCTCCTTCCTATTGTTTCACCCACTGTTCAGACTCATATTCATGCTCTTCCCACTTATGCTGCAATGTAGAATCATCTCGAACAATAGTACAATTCTCTTTCACTCACTCATATTTTTCAACTGAAGGAGCGCTTACACGGTGTTACTAAGGGTACCGATTCAATGCAAACCTATTTGGACATTGTTCTCACCATTGTGTCGTCTCTTAAATTGGCTCATGAAAATATCTCTGAACAATATATTATCTGGTCAACTACGCCTCCCTCAAGCAAAACATTCGCACCAATATTGCCACAGTCACTTTTAATCAGGTCTCTTCCTGCCTTCCCTCTGAAGAATTGAACTTATCTTTTGAGAAGAAATTATCTCAGGGAGACTATGGCTCTACCTCGTCTGTCAACATCCATAATGCTATTTTCACCAATTCTGGACGAGGCACTGGACGAGGCCGTGGCCGTGGGCCGCCACAAGGCCGAGGAGGACCGTACTGCGGCGGTAACCCTGGCGGGGTTGGCTGGCAGCCGCTGTACCGTGACGATGCGCGCGGCAGAGGTGGCGGACGAGGGGCGTACGTCACATGTCAACTATGTGGGAATCCCGGTAATGCGGTCTGGAATTGTTGGCATCGCTACAACGAATCCTACACTAGTCCTCCGCAGGCGTTTTATGCAAACCAATCTACTGAATCTAGTTCGAACTGGCATCTGGACACTGGAGCAAACACTCATGTCACTCCTGATTTGTCTTGGCTACATACTTTGACCGTATCATGGCACCAATTCCATCACTACTGCTATGGGTGGACACGATACGGTTCCGGTACCGCCACCCCATGGCACCGGTACCGTGACCGGACCGGCAGGTACCGTGACCGGACCGGCCGGTACCGGTTCCGGTACCGGACCGGCCGGTTTTGCCTCCCCCCACTTTTTTCTTGCTTTTTTTAATATTTTTGAAGTTTGCAGATCTGTTGAAGACTAATCCCTCTGTGTGCCGATCTGTTTAAAGCAATCCGAATTGCCGATCTGTTTAATACTCCGTAATTTTTTGTTGCAGCCACTTGTTCCTCCCGTTGAAGACTAGTTCCCCGACTTCCCCCCTTCCCTTTAATGTTTCCCTTCTTTTTTTTTGCAGGTAGACAAGTGCTTGGCAGATCTATTGCAGGTGCAGGAAAAAAATATAAAGTAACGGTACCGGTACCGTACCGATACCTGCGGTTCCGAGACGAAAATTTGGGTACCGGTACCGGTTGGGGCGGTTCCGGTACTGGTTCCTGGCACCGGTGGGACGTGCCGTGCGACGGTGACGGTAGATGGTACCGGCGGTACCGTTGCCGGTAACGGTACCGTACCGGTACCGTGTCCAGCCCTAACTACTGCAGGAGGTAACACCCACCCTATTGACCATACAGGTTCAGGTATACTCACCACCTCTCTCCACACCTTTACCTTAAACAACCTTCTCCATTCCCCTCACATTAATTCTCATCTTCTTTCAGTTCATCAATTTACTAAAGATAATAATTGTTCTCTTCTTTTTACCTCTAAGGATTTTACGATTCGGGACTACCTCACCAACCAAGTTCTTTTCAAGGGCCCTTGTGAGCATGGTCTGTACTCCATGTCGGCATCTCACTCTTCTCTGGTGGTCAACTCTATCAAAGTCACTCCTTACCAATGCCACTGCCGTCTTGGTCATCCCTCAGCTCAAGTCACTAAGTCTTTATTGTCTTAATTAGGTTTTAAATTTCAGCATCTTGATCATTGTATTTCATGCTCTCTTGCCAAGTCTCATAAACTCCCCTTCCATGTGTCTGACACTAAAGCTTCTGCCCCGTTTGAACTTATTCACTCAGATGTATAGGGACCCACTTATGTACCCTCTTTTGGAGGCTATCACTTTTATATTAATTTCATTGATGATTATACAATGTTTTGCTAGTTGTACCCTCTTAAAAATAAATCTGATGCATTTGATGCTTTTCTCAGTTTCAATCTATGGTTCGTACTCAATTCAATGCACACCTTAAACTTTTTCGAACAGATAAAGGGAGGGAATATGTCAATAAAAAGTTTGGGTTGTTTTTACAAAATTTGGGGATTCTCCATAAAAAATCTTGTCCTTACACTCCTGAACAAAATGGTGTCGCTGAAAGAAAGCACCGTCACTTGGTTGAAACACTTGTCACACTTCTTTGCACACCCAATCTCCCAGCAATATTTTGGATCGAGGCGTTGGCTACTACAAATTTCTTGATCAACCACATGCCAAAACGGTCTCTTAATCACAAATCCCTTTATTAGTCTCTGTTTCAAAAAGCTACAGACTACAACCTTCTCCGGGTGTTTAGCCTATCCGTGTCTACGACATGAAATCACAAATAAATTCCAACCACGGTCCAAACCCTGTGTCTTCCTTGGGTACGATTCCTCGTCTAAAGGGTATCTCTGTTTTGATCTCACCACGGGTCGGATATACATCTCTCGCCATGTCCAATTTCAAGAAAGTCAGTTTCCATATTCCACCGTCTCTACACCCACAGGGTCTTCCTTCACATCTCCGTCATTCCTTGGTGTCCTTCCTACTTTTCCAGTTGAGTCGCCTTGTACTCCACTCCATGCTCACAAGGATACCCCACCCA